ATCAAACCTTTATTGACTGATTCGTCATCAACAAATTCTTTGAAGTTATCATCGAAGTACACACTCAGGTTTTCATCTGTTACAGTAAATAGAAGCACAAACTCTCTATCGATATCTTGCCGCGAACGACCATCTTTAGTAAGCGTTCCTAAAACACAATAAAACGGTAAGTTTGTTAACATAAGTCAACAGAAAAGGAAAAAAGCAATAGGCCTAGCAAATTGTACGCAGCCTCTGATTATAATGGAACGGTTCCAAAGAAGTGCTAAACACTACATATTCTGAAATAGAGTACACGTGACAGTATACCAATTTACGTCGACATCGGCAAATGGCAGCTTGAACCAAAACTATTATAAATAGGCCTACCTTTTCGACACGCAAGGATGGTTCCAACCAGCCCCGCCGCTTCTTCGCTGACACTCTCATAATGAGAGTGATAGACCCATGGGATGCAATTACTACCGTCTTTTGTAGGTCCCGTCCTCTGGTGTACTTCCCACTTGTATGTGTGAGTTCCACCTGGTTCTACCTTGTCGTCTTTCTTATCTTCTCCAGCAGTACCATCATTATAGATTGCACCTGTGATGCCATAAACAAAATGCCTTATATAGTTCATGGTGTGAATGAATATAATAATGCAAAAAAGTAAGTTCGTTTGCCCTCCTCACCCGCCCCAAACTCACTGAAAAAATAGGAGAAAAAATTAAAAATACATAAGGCGTACGTACGCCTTAGCAAGATAATTCAACAAAAGGACGCACATCTCCGCTCTCGAACATAGCGCGTGCGTACAGTCCTTTGATCTTTACTGTGGCATCGACAATCCGATAGTAGTTGCGAGTACAGCCGTCAATTATTAGTCTATGCGTGCCATTCGTTTTATGGTGTTAGTTTTTATTTTATTAATTTTGGGTACTTCGCAATGTCTGTTACATTTGATTTTTTTTTACGGCGAGCTTGTTAAATGATTCTATAAACTGCAATTTGATTTGTGAAAATTGACCAAGAAAATGAAAAGAAATAGCAATTCAAAATTTACGAATTTTATAAAATTTCATGTTCTTATGTAACATTAATCTGTTATTTTGACAATGTTGGCATAAGGTGCCGAAGGCGAACATTTGAGTATATACGGAACATTTATTAATTTTGAATGAAGAATATATTTCAGTCTAATTTAGTGCAAAATATCATTAGGCCTTTGTAATCACCGCACGACGAGCGACTAACATGGCAACTAACACGCGCGTGGGTAAATCGTCACGTACGCTGACGGTTTATGGTCTGTTTGCTATGGTTTTTGTGACGTTCAGCGTGTAGGGACGCACGTGCGCCTAGAATGTGCGTCCTTTTGTTTAATTACCTTGGCCTTAGTAACCCATAAGGCGCACGTACGACTTATCAAGGCGTACGTACGCCTTAATAAGGCGTACGAAAATTTAAAAAAAAATATTCCACCATGTCCCTTAAACAGCTTCGTATTTAATAATTATGTCAACAGGAATTATCTGATATATAATCGTTTTATTATACTGTACAAATATTTACTGTTTTGTGTGACATACTACAGTCTTGAGACCACCTGTGTCATAGTTTGATGAACCCGGAAAACGTTTTGTTTTATACCCCACAAACATAGCATCTAGTAATTTGATTGGTTAAATATTCCCCCCCCCCCACCAAATGTAGGACTTTAAAGTGAGTGAAACAGAATAGAATTCACATATTTCACTTTATGTTATACCATATGGTTATACAATTTACCGTTCTTCTGGAGTAAAGTTGCTTACTGTAATCTACCGTGTATGTCATTAAAAGGTTTTAAAGGAGTAAATTTCTGACTTTTTGCTTCAAAGAATTATTCTTAAATTGTTCACTGAGTACAGCATTTTACTTGCCCCTTGGTTTTAGCACTCTCAGCAACACTCATAATGGACTTTTCAAAATTAAAAAGAAATTGAGAAAAAAAAGAATTCTTCTTAAATTTTGAGTCTAGAGTGCCAATTCTGGTCATCTAGAGGTGCCAAAATCATAATTTTTTATACCTCAGCCCCAACCATTGTGGGCCTGATGTAGTATAGACCCCCATCTATAAAAGTCCCTCTCTGGGGGCCTCTTTTATTTTAAATTCTGGATCTGCCACTCTCATTATTATTAGTATTATTATTGTTGTTACTGTTGATATTGTTATTGTTATTGGTTTCGTTAACTTTTATTTTTACTACTACTATATTATTATTATTATCATTATTATTATTATTATTAGTGCTATGTCTATTATTATCATCATCATAAGTATTATCATTAATATTATTATCATTATTATTTATTATTATTATTATTATTGTTATTAGTGCTATTATTAGTATCATTATTATTAGTGCTATGTCTATTATTATTATCATCATAAGTATTATCATTAATATTATTATCATTAATATTTTTTTAATTATTATTATTAGCTAGCATCTGCATAATGTAAAGTTCTAACCTTCTGATGATTTTTCATAGAATACTCCATGAGGATGCATAGTGTAGGGTTTCGTTGCTAAGTTCTTAAAATGGATCACGATGACGTCGTCAACCTCTCCCCTCAATATAGGCCCAGTGAATCCAAGCCATGACGGAGACTTTACCTGAGTAGTGAAGGTCTTGTCTGTAAACTCTTTGTAAAATGCTTTCTTGTAAACTCGACCAATGCGCTGTGGACCACCTGTCTCTTATACACATCTAGATGTGTATAAGAGACAGGTTTATCATTAAGATTTGTATTTTAAAAGTAATTCTAATATGCTTTAAATTAAATTACATAATGTTGTTCCACAAGCACGCGAGTATGGTTGATGCTGTCGTTTTGTGAGACCTTAGACACTATCAAATGGTTTAGTGAAAAGGGCCATGAAGTTCTCTTTATATTCAATTTTGCTTCATTCATTTGTTCCACTGCATGAATCAACATAATGATATTTTTTAATTCGTTGTAAGAAGGTGGGTTGTTCCATTCTGAAAATTATGCCAAATGACGAAGCAAATAAAACACATAAAACAAAAATAGTGAGCGCTTTTTCGTGATATGGAAAGAATATTTTCATGATGGAAAGTTACACATCTTATACAAATATTTCTCCCACTGCACTCACAAACATGAATTTTTACTTTATATGTGAATTGTTTTCTGAAAAATTGTTTAAAAAGATGGTTTATTTATATTTTTATATTATAAAATACTTGAACATCATGTTATTTTTTCACTGTATGTGCTCAGGAGAGCTCCGTGACAGTAACGTTGCGTTAATGGGGTAATCAGGCCAGTCAGCCATACCTTTTTCTTGTTTTACTTGTGAAATAAATGATATATGATGTAATATGGCTTGTTAGGGTCGTCTGCGCATAAATAATTATGATGATGTAATGTGGTTGATCAATGAAGAATCAAAGTGTGGTTATTCTGTCGTACCGTATATCTTTAAATGTATAATACGTTCAAAAAGTGGTCAGTAAGTTGATTGGTCCATAAATTATAATAATATTTACACTTGTTCTAATAGACTGACCGTAACATATCCCTTTGAACTCTGTATTTAAAGTATATACATGGGACCTAAAAAGTCACGTGTTTTTGTTTTTCACATGAAATATCACACTCAGACTTGAATTTGAATATATTTTTCTTTTTCTCTCCATATTTTTGAATTATCTGGCCCTCCCACTTGAATCCGCCACTGCAACTGAACTGTATTTGTAGACAAAATCGGAGCCTTTTACGCTAGTTTACATTAAACAACCTTCTATTGGGCATAAATATTTAGGCGTACCAATACTGACCTTCCATTAATGATATTTTTTCCTGTGATTATGTTCGAACCAGACGGTGCATAGTCCCAATACCCCTCGACAGCTCCTACGTAGTACACTCTATCCACAGCATGTATCCCAATAAAATAGCTATTAAAAAGTAGCAAGCCCAGCAACAGCACTCGAGACGACATCGTAAATGGTGGTTCCTGGAATGAGGGTAATACTCTAAATGGTAACGCCTTTGTAACCGTAGACTTATCGGACTATGTACCTATAGCAATCGCCTGTTTGTTTGGATTCTTCGCCCGAGTTCTTTATACGTACGTCACAAGCTAGGATTGACCGCTTCATAGGTGAACAAACTTTCGTAATTTTAAAGGATTTTAAGTAACTTTAGCTATTCCTATTCAACAGACGTTCGAGAGGAGTAACACCGTCATTGTCATTATCGTGCTAACAGTTTTTGTTATGCCTGTATCATATAATTGATTTCACCATTATATTAAATTTAAAAAAAAAACTATCTTATCGAAGCTGGAGACTGAAATCAGACGGCTACAAGTACCAGTACCAGTACCAGACTACAGAATGCAAAATAAGTTATTAATTCAAAGTGTATATAGATATACAGTACATGTGATCATGTGTCATATGCGTACGTGTGCATTTATTTAAAATAGTGTTTACATAGGTGTTCCACAAACACTCAAACAGCTTACACTGTCAGTCAGCTGCGTAAGCGATATTCGAACTCTAAGTCAATGAATATTAAAAACAAAAACAAAAAACAAAAAAACAAAACAAAAAACAAAAAAAAAAAACAAAAAAAAAAAAAAACGTACGCCTACGTAGGTTTTTTGGTTCCAAATCTAACACTACGTACAATCAATCTATCACATTTTAGGCAACCGATCATCAGCAATTTAAAAATTAAAATTTTTGTTGAATCGTTGTATTATTCTTATTTGCTTTATGAACTAACTGTAGGACAACTAGGTCTTAGAATAAATATATTTGCCCCAGACCTAAGTAGGACCATTTTTAAGAGTCTAGGAATTTTATTTGGTATCTAATCATTGACCATTCAGGGGAGGCTCCACCAGAGGAATATTTTCTTGTTTGGTATTATTTAAAACTGGATTTCTAGTTTGTATGTATTTTTATTTTGTTGGCATGTGGATACAATTAAGATAGGCTATATAAATATATAAAAACAATCGCAACTATATTGAGTAAATACTTAGTACAACGAAAACGAAAAGGTGGTGACTGCATCAGCATCTGCCGTTTGCCCTGAACTTTGAATTGCTAATTTTACAATACTATCTTACACAGCGACTGCAAAGAGCCGTGCACTGACTACGTCGTACGACCGTGGCACGACGACTCAAACTCCTTTTCCTGTGAGCGATAGACGACGCGACGCCGTCAACTGATTGTCGGTGGCATTCTGAACGGTTCGTCATTAAAAACGATCCGTTGCGTGCGCGTCGTCGCGTTGCGTTCTTCATAGAAACGCGTCGGCCGACGACCGTCCGGCGCAGTGAGTACTCGGCTTTACACTGTTGAATATGACACAAAGTACCTCATGTATGAATTTTTCAGTAAATTTATTGTTTGTGAATTCAATTTAGCATAGAGCATAATAATCAAGTTTACATAAGAAAGCAACGACAAAGAAGCAGCATAAATTGTATTGTTTTAAAACTTATAATTTCAACAGCTACAATATCTACCGAATATTTAAGTAACAGAATTGAAAGAATACTGAGGGCGCTAATGTCTCTACATTATTATCTAGTCTTCTAAACTAATATATTTTTTAAAGATTTGTTTTCGTTATACGATTATAAAACTGTCTGTGAATTAGACATATTTAACTGAAATTCAAATCAAATTTTGTATTCATTTAATCAGTTTATCAAAACTTATGCTAATATCTACAATTCCTAAAGATAACAACCCTACAGATTACACCAGACAAGCTTCAGCAATGTAACTCTTTTTCAAATATAATAACGGCCCTCTTTAATCATCTACATGCATTATACTACATAACTCGCAGTTATTATAGTTTCCAAAAATATTATATATATGTTGTATTAATGTGAATCCAAAAAATCAAGAGTAATACTAACGGATAAAATTACAAATCACTGCATTAAAAAAAATAATAAGCAGCGGATTCCTGCAAATATCTTTTGGTGCATAAGCATTTAGATTGAATTAATTATTTTGAATGAGTACTGATTATTATTTATTTTATCATTATGTCCTGAATATGTAGACCATCATTTGCGCTGTTATCCTTTAACGTTAACACTGTAAGGATAATACGCTGCTAAGTTGGCTGGTCCGTACGAACAATAGCGACAGTAGCCGGGCGAGCCTTCCGGTCCTCTTGGTCCAATAGGACCTCTTTGTCCAACTGGCCCAGGAGGTCCACGACGTCCATCTTCACCTGGACGTCCAATTCCGTCTCTACCTGGTGGACCTTTAAAATAAAACAGAAGTTTTTGTCTTCTTTTTCTTATTCATTAAATGTCATTTGAATGTGAACACACACAGCATAATCTTAACAATCTTAACAATTAATCTTTTTGCACTTAATATTGATGTTTGTTCGTGTTTGTATATTTTAGCTCCATGTCTTTGTTATGTGTGCGGTTATTGATGGATTGTACAGTAGTATCTGATGGCTAAACCATTTTATACATTGAGCTAAATGAAATGTCCAAAAAAATATATAACAATAGTAATACCCAATACTCTTGTTTTATTGATACATACATATTCAATTATATTTTAATAAAATTAATTAAAATTACCCAAACGTATTATAATGGTATTTCTATCTCAACGGGCAATTCGTATCTTACCTGGTGGCCCGGGTGGTCCGGGTGCCCCTGAAGCACTTAGCGCTGCTGGTACAACTACGTCACTCGTGTCTCCTCTTGGACCTATTTCAGATAAAATTTTAGTTAATAATAATGGTAATAACATTACAGACAACTAAATAGTAATAATAAAAATCATAATTATCATAATGAGCCAAATCAACTTCACTGTATTTCCGATTTTAGGCCTTTTCGATGAATGAAATATTGAATGAAATAAATGAATGAATAAATAAATAATAACATTAACGATAATACTATTGTACGAAAACTGTAACAGTTATAATAATGATGTTAATAATACGTCAGTGCAGTAAAAATACGATTTTTTTAAAACTATAACACATGCAAATTTAAAACACAATGACATAAAGTTTAAAAACATTATATTAAAACTCATAAATTTGTTGAGATTCCGAATAAATTTCATGAAACTACTAGTCTTCAAACGCGTCATACAAATTTATCAGTAAGTACTTGATTAAAAAAGCAAACTTCGTTTACCTGTCTGCCCTGGAAATCCAGATGGTCCACGAATACCAGGTAGACCGATTGGTCCTTGTGTTCCTCTCTGGCCCGGCGGTCCTGGTTGGCCAGTCATTCCTGGAGGTCCTGGACGACCGGGTGGCCCTGGTGGACCCTCTTCTGACATGATTGGTGCAGGTTGTCTTAATCTTGATTCAATAATTTCTAAGCGATCTGTTTCAAGGTAAGAGAATATTATTTTATTGTCTCGAGTAAGATAGTTATGTTCTTTACTGATTCTGTAATAAAATTCAAGATTGAAGATAATTTTATTGTCTGAAAAACCCAGAAATTATGTTCCACTGGTTAATATTTACTCTTTGGTTAATCCATATAATTTATCAACACTAAAAGATAAATTCAAGAGAGTCATGATAAGATTACAAAAGTAAATTATATAAAAACTAAAACATGGAAAATTCCGAACATTTATTAATTCATCGGGAGATTTTAAAGTTCATATAATTTTTGTAACATTAACATGATGTGAAATCAAGGTCTCCTTTAAATGAATAAAGCGTTTGCCTACTCATGATATAATGTTGTAACGTTGAAGTTCCTATGGTAAATATAAACGTTTTCCTAATCATGGCATGATGTTGTATTCATTGAGGTCCATGGGGTTAAATAAAGCGATTGTGTACTCATGATAAAAATGTTTCTTCATACCAAAGCTACTACGACCATATTGAGAACTTAGATATGCGCCTATGATACAATATCGCAACTGACCTTGTAAAATTCTTTCAATCATTCTTGTTAGTTCGCCTTCTGATGGTGTTCTACCCTAAATTGGAAGATAGAAAAAGCTGCAGTAAAGCAAAGCTAATTGTAGAGTACAGTATCCGCGCGAAGAAGTGCCTGGGCGATTACAGCTGGATTGTTTTGTTCGAAGCTCTTTGCTGGGCGCTTTTTAAAATGAGGCCGATATAACGTTTTGAGGAGTGATTCGCGATAACATAGACAATTTGCATTACGACAGTTTAGGGATTCATTTTAAAATGTTTTATTTGGAAATATGTAGCCAACAGTTAAAAATATTTCTTGATCAGAGTAACTACGCTAACCTTTATTCGTTTGGAGTGTGACTGCAACAAATACAAACATAGGTCTATCAAAGATTTTTCTCTACCAAATCAAAATGTTATTATATGTTATCACAATAGACAAATAGACAATTTCTTCTTACCGGGACACCTGGATCACCCTTTGGTCCTAATGGTCCTCTGTTGCCTTGGAAACCGGTATCACCTTTCTCACCTGGGGCTCCGGGGAAACCAGGTGCACCTAACACACCAGCTGAACCTGGAGACCCAACTTCACCTTTGATACCAACCTATTGACAAAGAAAACACATCATCAACTGTAATGTAGTAATGTTTATATAAAAAAAATAACTTGTATAAAACAACATGCTATTTCAAAGTGACGTGTTGTCAAGAAACCAGGACATGTCACTGATGTATACTATACAACATGTATAACTAGAAAGACGATATATTTTTCTAGAAGGGAATTTTTAATAATTCATTAGTAATAGAATCAACTTTAAAATCGTTTTTTTTTTTTGGCAATTTTTTTCTCATTTAGCAGCGTGACGAAGCTACTGATGTAACCAAAAGTCGTATAGCGCCGCGGCACTATGCACTATACGATTTTGGTTACAGTAGCTTACACTGACGTCACGCTGCTAAAGGGGGAAAATCGTAATAAAATAATAAAGAAATAGATATAATTTTTGGCCTATGCATCATACTATTTATTTACTGAAAATATTAAGTGTTACCGTATGTGCAATATCATGGTCATATATTAAATTATTAAGCATAATATTAATAAAGAGTCATTACCGGACCGCGAAGGCCTGGTGCTCCTCGTGGTCCTGTTGGACCGTCCGGACCTACGATTCCCATTTCACCAGCCGGTCCCTGTTGCCCTTGTTTTCCTTGTCGTCCAGTGAAACCCTATGTGTAAAAATTAATTTAAAGAAATACACAGACATAATGACAGTTAAACGTTCAAGATAACACTATTTCCAATACGCACAAAAAGACATTAAAATTATGAATTGTATAAAATATAAAAATAAATGATAACAATTTTGTAAGGAGGATAACTCAGACGGGTCCCCTCTCCCACCTAGGTTTATTTCACCTAAGAGTCGTACGATTTCTACGAGTTAAAACTCGTGATCTTTGGAAAGGACCTTATACGAGCTTATTACGTGATAGCTACGAGTGAGGTACGACTTTATGGAGTTGGTTACGAGTTATGTACGAATTATGCCGAGCAGAGCACCGAGTTAACTACGAGATTATTACGAGCGTAACAAGTTTGTACCGAATTAGATACGAGCCAACTCGGTGCGCTCGTACTTACTCGTACTCGTTTTTGGGTGCTCGCATCAAACTCGTTGATGACAAAACCGCCGACGAGTATCCAGAGTAGTGTACGAGCTATGTGAGAGTACCCCGAATACTCTACGAGCTACCTACGAGTTCTTCGAGTCTACTACGAGTTATCTACTCGTGGCGATAATTTTGAACATGTTCAAAATTAGCGCCACGAGTTCAGAGCTGCTACGAGTAGGTAAGAGTCCTCTCCGAGCTTTCCGAATCGTCCTACGAGTTTTTGCCGAGTTTGCCGAGTTAGCAACTCGGCATTCTCTTGTAACTCGTATGCTGAAAAAAAACCCTAGTGGGAGAGGCTCATAATTAGATTATTTCATTATCAATTTATACATCTTTTTGATTTTCTTTAATGAAATTTGATATCCTTAGCAGTACGTTTACAATATTGAGTACCGGTAGTTAGTGTTTGCGACGGGTAGTCTCATACGATCATTTCTAGGGATAACAACTAAGAAGCACCAACAAGCGGATGACTTTCCTAATATGACGGAATTACTCGAATCGTGGATCTTTCCCATTTTCGTCGGGGACAGCTATGGAGTGTAACAGAAGACTGACGGTTTTCTGTTAATTTTACCAACTTTCATATCCAAAACGGTGTATTAATTCTTTATCAATTTAATTATGCATTACTTCCCCAAACCGTTAAATATTAACGACATATCTCACAAACAACTGATGAACAGAACAGTAATGGTCGATAGTATAGTAATGATAAAATGCTATGATAACTAAAGTATGATATACCATTTCCAACAAAGTCATATAGGTCTATGTATGTATATTTTTCTATAGGATTCACTTATGTAAACACTTTGAAAAGCTAGCTTGATAATACAGTACTATCATCGAATTTACCTGTGGTCCCCTTGAGCCCGCATCTCCTTTCTGTCCCTCTGGACCTCGGAATCCTCTTGCTCCCCTTTCACCCTTAAAAGAATTGTCAGTAAAATGGTGATTAGTCTAATATAAGCTAAGAATAAAAGCTATTCATTATGTTATTTAATTTTTTTTATCAACTAGTAGGCCTGTATTGAGTTATGAAGTACCAGGTTATGATTTTAAGTCCTTATCTGTTTTAAATCCTTTGGTTCTTTTCTAAATCCGTGTTTTAAATTTTGTGGTTGTTACAACTGCTTCTGTTATTATTTACCTGTTCACCTGTCGGTCCAACTGGACCTCTCTCACCGGTCGCACCAGTCTTTCCCACCTCACCCTGCACTCCTTGTGCTCCTTGAACACCGCGCTCACCTTGTGCACCCTACAAGAAAGTTCAATTGTTGGATTCTTATGGTTGACAGAGCCAACCACACTCATCAGGCGGATATGTACAACTGATGTTATTACAAGGAAAACTTAAGCATATCATTAATTTAGAAGCAGATTAGCGGTGATTAAAAGGGTCTAT